TTTATTTTTATCATTTGTAATCTTTTTTTTCTTTTCGTTTTATGATTAAAATAGAATGGTGTACAAATGGCGTTTTTGTATTTTAATCTCAGTGATGACACTCTTAAATATTAAATTTAAAGAGTAAATAAAAAAACTAAAGCTAGTTTTATGTTTTAGGACCTTGAACGAGAGAAGCATGCTCATAGTATACTGCAGTTTCAGTTCAATGAATTGAAGGAGACATTGAAACAGAGTGAAGAACTGCTCACTGTGAGTATTTATGTCTCTGTGCTAAAAACCTTTGTCTTATTCAAATGCTTGGCTTATCTGCCCATCTGCGTTAACAGCTTCTCTCCTTCCTTCATCTTTATTCTTCTTCCCTGCACAATACCTCTCCGTAGGAGATCCGTCAATTACGGCTCAAGCAAGATGGCTATTTTAGGGAGATTTCTGACCTCCAGGAAACTATTGAGTGGAAGAATAAAAAAATTGGGGTATGATTCCTCAGATCCCTCCTGTAAAAATTTTATTTGTCATTTACCTTCATTTTAAGAGAATTATAATTTCACCTTTCAAACATATAGTTGTCGATTAGCTTGATTCTACATCTGTTTCCTGCTACAATCTGTCTGTCATTGCCAAACTGTTCTTGTTGTCTGCAGCACTGATGTTATCATTGCTTTCACCTTCTTTTTCTCCTCTTTGCTGCATCTTTGCCAAATCACTGCTGTTCAGGCATTAGAGAGGCAGAAGGAATTTTCTGATGCCATTCGAAATGAGCGGGATGAGCTTAGAGATGAGGTTGTTCAGCTCAAAGATATTTTGAAGGTATTGATATGTGTGGAGAAAACTAGGGCTAATTATTTTCTCATTAACATTTCCTAACAAAACAGCTTTGTAATAATTTTTAGTAATCTAAAGATTCAGAATATAATATAAATCGAGACTGATTCAGCTAACATTCAGCTTCTAACGGAGTAAACCGAATCATAATCATAATATTTTTGCATCCACAAATATATACATTTAAAAATAATAACTCTAGGCTCAGTGCATCTAAAATTAACACGGATCTGTTTTTATACTAAGTAAACTAACATTAAATTGTTTTCCTGTCCAGAAACATGGCATTGTCCTTGGACCCGACTTGGCCACCAATGGAGAAACAGGTGAAGAAGTCGGAAAGGCTGATCAGAATTCTCAAACAGCATCAGCTGAAATCCGAGATGGGAGTAGCATACTAGGTAAGCTGCTTTTCTTAACTTCATTCATTGCACGCTAACATTTTTTTTATCTTTGTCACTTTGCATTTTCATCTTGTACAGCTTGAGCCAAGTCTAACCAAACTATTTCTGTGTACGTGGTACAAATGCACCTTCACATTAACATCTCTCACAATTTCCTCTTCCCTGTAACCGCTTTGCATATACAGCTAGAATAAAAGTTAACACTATAGAGTCATGTCTCTTTCTTGAGTCCTTATTCCAATACTCTGCTGGACAAGTGTTTATAAAATTGCTGAAAATATTTCATCATCCTTGTTTTCAAATCAAAATCAAGAGAAGGATTTGCAGAGTAGTTTGTTTAGTTCTTGACATTACTGTGGGGTTTTCTTCTTTGGGACATCCTTCAACACATTTGATTTGTATGTGTTTAAGAGCTTTGCCATGGAGTCTTCGTTTCCCTCTGTCTTTTTCTTCTTGCTCTAAACATTTGCCAAATATTCAATGGCTTCTACAGGCATATTTCTTTTGGCTTTAACTACTGACACCTCAATCATCTCCCAGGCACTCATCAGTTGAAGGTGTGTAAAGACCAGCAACAAAAAGATTTGGATGACGGGGTGCCAGGGAATCAGCAGTTTTCACATGCCCAGTTCAGTTCTTCAAACACACCTTTAGTAGCAAGTATGGAGAATGGAGAACTTGGGGACCAAATGATTCAGGGTGTAGGGCAGCTTGAGAATAGACCTGAAGAACCTCCAAGTTCTGTTGGTGATGATGAACTCACTGCAATAAGACCCAAGGAGGAGATAAAATCTGAGGCACATATACCGGAAGATTCAAGAGGTGATACTGTGGAATTAGGGTGCAAAGTTCACAAGGATGGACATTTGGAGACAGATCAACAAGAGAGAGAATGCGTCAAACCTAGTCAGGTCATCAAAGAGGAAACTCCTTCAGAGTCTGTCTCTGGTTCAGTCCATGATGAAACTGATAAACCTGGTGAGACTGTGCTTGATGATAAACTCAAAGAGGAGCCTGTAGAATCATTTCAGACAGAGAAGCTTGCTAAAACCCAAGGTGTAAGTGCTTCAAATAAAAAGAAGAAAAAGAAGAAGAAAAACAAGCAGAAGCAGAAACAGAGTGACAAGCAAGAGAGTGACACAAAGATAGATGACAAGAATGAAACCGTTTGTAGTGAAGACAATCCAAACCAAAAAATGGAGGGTGATCTAGAAGGAAACCATCAGGATCCCTTAGGGAATGATAAATCCAAAACAACAATGAATACAGATGTCCCACATGATGCTAAAAGAACCAGTGAATTGGATGGTATCGAAACAACAAGCACAAATATAAATGCTGATGATACTCAAGATAAAATTATGTTAGTTACAGATGAAGCTGATTTAGCAGAAATTTCTAAAACAATCTCAAATTTTAATTGCCCTGAATCTGGAAATAGTGTGATTTCAGATGATCTGTCCAACAATATTATCTCTAACCCCGCAAACATAATTGATGAACACACTGAGGATTCAACAAATCCTGACTCTGAAGCTGTAATCTTTAGCTGCGAGCTTGTATCTTCAGAAACAAAGACTTCACTGCCTCATGAACCTTCTGCTCAGTCCATGGATGCTGTTGAAGGGGGTGTTGAGTCCACCAGCAGCTCTGAGAACATTGAGTTGAAATCATTGAAATCTGCATCGGAAGACATCAAGGAAGTGGAGAGTCATCTGAACTGTGAAGTAGAACAGGAGGAAAAGCTCCTGAATGTTGATCTAGATGGGACCACCAACCCTGAAGATCAAGATGGCTCTGCTCATCCCACTTCCCCTGTAATGGAGAAGGTGGAAAATGAAGCTGAAAGGGTAATCCAGGAACAACCTGTTGACCAGCCAATGGAAAGCCAACTTCAAGACAGTATTGGAGCAGAACTGGACCAGGAAGAGGTTGAGACACAAGATGGACTGGATGAAGAAAATCTTAAAGTGCCTACTGAAACAGTGTTTGATGGAAGCCATGTCGACAACACTCTTTTCATTGAAACCCAGGTTCAGGTTATGCATGAGGATCACCTGTCTGCCAATGAAGCAATTCAGGAAACTGTTGGAGAGTCAGATGCTTCTGACCAAAAACCCAAGGTAGAAAAAGATGAGGAGGAAAGATCAATCCAAAATCAAGTTACACTTGAAGTGCAACTGCCTGAAGATGAAGAAGACCTTCTGGTGAAGTCAGATGTGGCTGCTCAAGAGCTCAAGGAAGGAGATGAGGAAGAGGAAGATGACGTAGAATCATTTGATTTTAATGAAATGGATCTTGAAGCATCATCAGATGCCCCTCTAAAAAACTTTCTAGATCAGCCAAATGAGGAAGTTACTCTTTTAAAAGAAAATGTCCAAGAAGCAAGCCAGGAACACCAAAGCAATGTCACTGATGAGGACCAAACTCAAGAAGATGAACATCTAGAACTTGCAGATCAGGAATCAAAGCCAAAGGAGCAGAAAGATGATGGACAATACACAGAAAACCCACAAACAACAACAGATGTAGAAAGATGTTTAACAGAGGACAGCCAAATCAACAGTGAAGTCAGACCTAATGATCAGCAGCATGATATTACTGGAATTAAAGAAGACGCATTTGAGGAGCATCGGCAGGCATCGGAAGATGTGACGCTCAATGAAGAAGTTAATCTGATCTCAGAGATGGAGACAAGAAATGTAGGCCAAGAGGTCAATAGTACTATTCATCACGAAAAAAAGGCATCAAATATTTCAGGAGATCAGGACATTGAGAAGGAAACCGCAGAAAGCAACAGGGAAGATGAAAGAAAAGAATCTAAGAAAAGTGGGAAAGGGAAAGGGAAGGGCAAGGGGAAAGACGATTGTAAAATGTCTTAATAGACAAGGACATTGCTGAGTCTCTTCTCAGCATCTTCAGTTTAAGAAGTAATTTGCACTTATGTAGGTCCTAATGAAATTATTTTGGGACCATTACTTTGGAGAACCCTAAAAAACCAAAGTGATCTTACAGTCAAGCCCAATTATCAGTCACTGCAGCTGTTTCAGCAAACATATTTTATACATGAATGTTTTACACCTGAATAACAATACTGAATGAACACAGGAAATTAGTTCAAACTGTATTTAAAATCCAAAAACCAGTCACACATTAAATGCTAGCAGTAATGGGTATAAAGTGTCCTATTTATTATGAAATTGTACATGAGCATGAATAAAATGTTTCTCATAATAATATATGAGTAATACGTGTTTCTCTTTTGGAAATTACCAACTTTCTGTCTGTGCTGCAGTCATGTTTAGCAGCTTCTTAATTACAATCTTTTCAGTTACAAAGGACCCGTAATATATTTGGTTTAAATGGATGTTATGTTGTTTAAAATTGTGGTAAATAACAAATTGTTATTGTGTGCCAACCCCTATTAAACATTCCTCTAAATTTTGACTGGAGCTTTGTTGTTACATTTTGTTTTTACAATTAATTTGTTGGGAGATATGATTGAAAACAAATGGAAATATTTTATTCTGTTTGGTGAAGATACTGTTGGGACATTGAGACCTAGTGCATGTTAACTGAACTATTTATGTTAAAATAAAATGTAAGAAAATATATGTTTTACACTATTGTTTATTGATTGTGTTACAGCAGAAATTTTTTGTCATAATTAAATTTTCCAGCTGACTGGATAAGTTTCTATTATACAATGATAGAGGAAATTTAATTAAACTGCTTCAGATAAAAATGGCTTATTTTTAATGATTTAAAAATATTGATTTATTTTTAATCGTGACAGTTTTCATTTTTAGGACATGAATTATAGTACGTCACACACTCATCGCATAACCTCAAGTAAGCTCACATCATGAAAAACACTGACATGTAGTAGATGTACTGATTGAGTGAACGCTGAGAGATTTGACTACATGAGGCTGAAGCCTCTAATGTCACTGAAGTTTCTGCATGTTGTCCATCCTCATCATTCACATCCCAGCATAGGATAGCCTCACTTTTTGCATGCCCTGACTCCTCCCCCTCCATGCCTTTGGCTCCTCCCACCCCTGGTATGTGAAATGTTTCCTGTCTAACTTTGGAATTTGTTTTAAAATGAGAATGTAATATTTTATTATTGCAAAGGACATGTTTTAAATGTTTAACTGTAGTTGTTAAAAATGTATGAATGTAGCCAAAAGTGCTTATCACATTGACGTGGATATACAGTTGTCTTTCCCAAAAAAAAAAAAAACTGCAAGAAAAAATTATGTTGGTTTTTGTCTAATTGTCTATCTGTTGAACTCGCTTTTCAGAAATTCGCTTGCGAAAACTTGTTGATGAGAGGGAAAACTTAATAGAGCAGGTGTGTTTCTGGCAGTTACTTTACATTGACTTTGTCCTCATTTTGTGCCATTACAAGTAAGATTTTCTGTTTTATTCTGTTCAGGTTAAGAGATTGAAAGGTCAACTTGAGCAGAAGAAACAGAAGAATGGTATAGAGGACGTGTCCAGCCCAGAGGGAGATGTGCTGGAGAATGGCGCTGACTCCAACATCATGGATATACAGAGTAAGAAACTGCCTGCACTCAGTCAGCTTCAGTGCAAACGTTTTAGAAACTTTTCTACAGCTCACAATATTCATTACATTGTTAGCAATAATTTTTAACAGGTTTGGTTTATTGCCAGAGCATGTAAGACCCTCAGCATGTAAGACCCTCAGCCTGAGATGTTGAGAAATGTGTAATTGTTCCTTATTTCAGGGGATGCCAACAGACAAGTCAATGACCTCAGATTTAAGCTTGTCAAATCAGAGCAAGAAGTCACAGCACATGAACAGAATGTGAGTTCCTTTAATATATTTTATTACTAATAATTGTAACACATTTTACCCTTTTAAAATATGAAATCGTGAAATAACATTTGAAGTTGTTTTAATTAACTCATTTTGTAGGTCACAAGGCTCGAGGGTCAGGTGACCCGTTACAAAGCCGCATCTGAAAATGCAGAGAAGGTGGAGGACGAACTCAAAGCTGAAAAACGCAAACTGCAGCGTGAGGTACAATAGTCAAATAGTCTGCTTTTGTTAAAAAAAGTTCTACTTATATGTACATACAATAAAACGAATAGCTTGCGCAACTTTTTTTTTCATGGTAGTTACGCTCTGCACTGGACAAGATTGAAGAGTTGGAGTCCAGTAACAGCCATCTCTCGAAAAGGCTGGAGAAGATGAAGAGTGGCCGGGCAACAGCAACAACTCCCTAATGGTTTCAGATCTGCCCCATAATCTGCCCAAAATCACCATTCCCAATGGGCATTTCCTATCATTCTGCACCTTATGCAAAGTTAATAAAACTATAAACAAGCTCATGAGAACCGTGATACATTATATTCTGCAACCGTGCCATTTCCTCCTATTTATCCATTTAGCTTGAGTTCTTCATCTTTGGAGAACCCAGTCAGGACTTTCTGAAGGATGCAGGAGGACTCTTAGTGTTGCTTCATTCAAATGCACAAACACTGTAGTTCAAAAAGTTAGAATGGTAATTGTCACATTTGAATCTTGCTGTGACTGAATTGATTCAAGCGTAATGTGCAAGGCTTCCCGAGATTATTTGGAGAAGGATCTTAAAAGTTACTCTTTGAAATTCTGAATGTGAAGATCAGGACATGTTGTCCAGATCTAGGATGTCTGGGTGGTCATTTGTTTGATTAAAGATAAAGACACCCGTTGCTTCACTAAGACAAGACAGACAAGTATGTATGATTGTGCGTGTTTGATGCTTTCATGTGTTCCACTCTAAAATATATTTAATTATCACTAGTTGAGTCGACTAGATCTTCCATATGTACCTGAAGCCAAAGGTTCTTGAGTAGTTTTACAGCTGTTGCCATCTGTGTTCTTTTAATTATGTGTTTCCTCTAATGAATTGTCTATAAGGGGCTTCCTAACATGTCAGAAAGACTGATGTGACATACATGAGGATGAATACTGATTCTTAGTGCATTTTGTTGTTGCATTGATGGTGAAATTCAACCCTAACTGAACCACATAAATCAGGAAGTTGTTCAAGGATTTCAGGCTGAGCAGCAACCTTTGGTGCATTAATTGCTGAAGACTGTTGTGATCACAAATACCATTTATTATCACCATCCCCGATGAGAGGCGGCCCCACCCTGTTTACAATGCTTTAAACCATTTATAGGTTAACTTTATGAAAACTGAAGTGTTATGTTATGATCTGCAATAAAATGTCCATTTTAATTTTAAAAAGTTGTCTGTAGTCTATATATAAATTCACTTAGCATATGCCTTCAAAACAGACCAACACTGGAGAGTCAGGGTACTGTGAACTACATACTATGTATGTATTTGAAATAAATATTTTGTGACAAAGAATATCACAAGTCAATTATTAGAGATAATTTTGCCTCATGGATTTCTGACCTGTCAAAAGTAATTTTTAAAATGTAAAATTGAGTATAAACTGAGCCAGATTCAATTAAGCTAGAACATATATACACATAATGTTTACATATTTTAACATATTTGAGACATTTCTGTGTGTTTGTCTCATGTATTGTGCCTGGTATTGTAAAAAAAAAAAAGAATACATATAAACGCAGCAAGACAAACAGGTTGACATTGGTAAATGGATATTTAATATACTTTAAACCCAAATAACATTAGTAAAATATAATAGCAACTCTTCCCCTCATACATACCAGTTAATTTAATTGTATATGATAAGGCTAATAATATTTGAGTGATGTTTTTGAAATGTAAAATACATTTATAACATTAAATGTAAATTTGAATATCTGTTTAACTGTTCTTACAGTTGACATTTCTTTAATGTAATTTTCTTAAAGGAAATTGAAAATTTTATATATTTATATTTCAGTATGCAATAACCTATGAAAGACCATTTCTGCCATGGAATTAAAAATAAAAAACGTCAATTTCTGAGAAAAATCTCAAAATTGCACAAAAAATATCAGAATTGTGAGTTGTTGTTTTTTTGTTTTTTTTAATCTTGCGGAGGATTCCATAATCCAAGGTTCCATAATAACCTCTCTTGTATACCTGTAAAATTTGAATGAATGAGGGATGCATATGATAGATAGAGGATTGTGTGATTGTTATAGTGCAGTTGAATCTCTGCCAAAACAGTATCTACTTCATTTAGCAATCTGTTTCCTCTATCTGGGATGAACGATACTCCACAACAGATTTTTTCACGTTCTTATCTTGAGTAAGATCTGTGCAACTAAGTGCCTTCCCTGTTACTGGATCATTATTGTTCCTGCAACAATTTAAAAAGAAAATCTGTTATTATCTTATTACTATATAAACCTCCTCAATATAGAAGACAATATTAAAGCAAGGAACTTCCTTTGCTGACCACCACAGGTAGATCAGATCCCTCCTATATGAGCATGCAAGACAACTTCCTTTCTAATAGCATTTTATTACCATATAATGTTGCTATGATAATATCATGGCTTATGAAAATAGCTTGTTTGTGGGCCTCTGTCTAGTGAGGAACCCTGTTACTCATGTTCACCATCACCCTCTGCCTGACACCCCTTTTGCAAATCTTAGTTTCATTTAGAAAGTGGGTGAATGGCACCTTGATATACCATAATATTTCCTCAAGGAATAAAATCACTTTCCAAGACTTTTGCTGTACCTCGATGATGCAACTCCACATTAACAGTAAGAACCACGAGAGACAATTCCTGCACAATTCTGAGCATCTAACTCAGTTACTCTCAATGCACTAACACAAATAAATTGTAAACCACACTTATGAATAAATCTCAACTTTTTCAGAGACTAATCCACTGAAACTTACGTCTTAAGATGTTCCTCAATGGCTCTTCGCTCATACACATATCCACCTTTGGCCTTGACTGGATCAATGAACATCTTCCCTGACAAAGGACATACCAGATGAGGAGGCACTTCAACATCGCTCTCACCTATATATTGCTGAAAAACAGATTGAAATGCAAAAATAAATAAATACATACATACCTACATAAAGTTGTAATGTTTTTTATAACTATTATCATAAAACAGGATAATATCCTAACAAATATATGCATACAGAAATGATTCACAATTTAATTTACTACAAGTGTACAAAGCTCAGATTTATACGTTATAAAATATTTACAATTTTAACCTGTTGAAATGTTGACCTAGGGGCTGCTCAAGTACTTTTCTTTTCTAATCCCACTTCAAAAATATATATTTTTATTTGTTCTTAAGACATTTTAAGTGTCCTTCAAAATTCAGAAACATGAGTTCTCTATGACCAAAAACTCTGGGCTAAGTTTGTTGGTAATAATGAAATGAAAAATATTTTACCTTTTCAATGGATTCCATGGACTGATGTGCATTTATTGCAGTGTCATCTTTAGCTGCTTGCTCATAGAGTTCTTTGCTAGTCAGGAATTCCTCTGCTAATATGCTAACAATACGATAGTGGACAAAAATACATGTACAGAATCAGATTGACGCTAAATAAATAATGTAATGCATTTTTCAACTTAAATGGACTTTAATCTCTGTCTGTGGTATGTTCTGATTATATCAGATTTGTTAAGTCCATTAAATAATAAAAAAACGTTTAGAGTTTTAAAGTGGAAATGAAAAAAACACCAGGTGAAGAAGGAGGCTACCTGTCTAGTGGATCGTCAGCCTCTGGGAGTATCAGAAGTCCATATACAGCATCCAAGATCTCTCTCATAGTGACATCAGCTGAGTAGTTTCGATCAAATATGTTGTGGCAAATCCTTCCCACACTGTTGATGTTGCAATGGTAAATCTGTACTGCAGTTAAGGATTTTATAGAGTACAAAATGCTAGAGAAATACTTTTTTCTAAAGTGTTCTATGCTTTACTCTTAATGTATTAATGGAAAAACAGAAATCAGTTTATGAAAATTACCGTGACAGTACTAAGGCTCAAGGATACAGGAGTATAGAACCGTACAACAGGTGGCTTTACTGGATAATCATGGCCAAACTGACAATACAGCTCAAAGGTTCCATTCTCATAGGGGGTTTCTGGAGGTCCTTTCATGACAATCCTCCAAAAAGCTGAAATATATTTTAAATACATAATGACAGCAACTTTATTGAACATACTTAAATGTGTAATTTTGACTACCTCATTTAATTAGAGGAAGCAACCGACACTATCTGATGAAGTGACAGATATGCAAACCAATTAATGCGTTGCCAGGTTTTTGAGGATTATGACTGTCTATGGGCAATCTACATCAAAGAAGCTTCTACCCACAAACAGAAATTGTAAGGTGGTGAGTACATATATTAGACTATGTTTCATTTTCAAGAGTCAAGTATCAAAAACATTAGGACTGTTTTGTAAAGATATGTAAGCAACCTAGTTTAATGTATGCCCCCCACATGCCCCCAATTACTGATATTGTTCATTATTGTTTAATTATTGATCAAATTATTCACAATTACTGATGTTAGGAACTATTGGTACAGTTCATGCATGAAAATCTAAAAGCAGGAGAAATAGCATGAACTGTCTTATTTTGACCACTACATAAAAGCAGATTTAATCATACTTACTGAGGTCGGTTTCTGAGGGATACACAGAACAGTATGGATGGGGATCACAGTGAAGACTCTTCAGTTCTTCTAAGATCCGTTTATCTTTCTCCATGAAGCGGCCTGACTTGGATTCCCGTATCTTCTTTTTTAGTACACTAATAAGGAAATTATTTGTATATTAGTATGTAGAATAAAAAGAATTACATAATATTCCCTATAACTTTTTAAGCGTTTCTACACCTTGAATTCATGAATTAAAAGTCTCTTTAAAATTATTACTTTCCTAGAATATTTAGAACAATTCATTTTTACTAGAATTTCTTTAAAGAAAAGAACCATATAAGTGTTTTCTAAATAATAACAATTGTCTTCATGTATCAGATTAAATTATTATTTACTTTTGTGGTGGGCAGTGAAAATTTTGGAAGGGGAAGTATAAATCTGAACCATTACAGGAAAGAAAAAAAAAAGCATGGCTATATTGATTCCTTAATTATAATTGGTTGAGCCATATTGGAAGCCATTGTAAATTATGCTGCGTTCATGCCATGTCGTAATTACCATAATTTCAAGATGACAACACGTGACTTGGAACTGTCTCAAGTCCTCGGACTCGAAATTATGCATTTCTCTGGAAACACTATCAATGCCAAAGTGTTCACGTCCTCATAGAACTCATAATTATAACTTGAAAGCTGGCAATGCTCTGAGAGCTGTACCACCTGACTGCCCCAGATTCATTTAGGTGCCATTGATGTTGATATTGCCATAGAAACTCATAATTCTAAGTTTGAGGACATGGACAGGCTGCATTCATGCCATGTCATAGTTATTCTGAGATAACACATGTGTTCTACTCGGAGCTGTTCCACATCCTCAGAGGCAATCTGTGGTGGTCAGGCGGCAAAAGCAGTATCACACTTGCAGTCTGCAATATGGCTCTATATCAATTTGTCAAGTCTGACATTACGTGTTACAATTTTTGGGTCCAAACACGATTTCAGATCTCAAAAGTACACTGCAATTTTTAAAATCTTTTAAAATTTACACGAGTTCAAGTACGAGTTCTGCAGATTGGTTGAGCCATATTGGAAGCCATTGTAAATTATGCTGCGTTCATGCCATGTCGTAATTACCATAATTTCAAGATGACAACACGTGACTTGGAACTGTCTCAAGTCCTAGGACTCGAAATTATGCATTTCTCTGGAAACACTATCAATGCCAAAGTGTTCACGTCCTCATAGAACTCATAATTATAACTTGAAAGCTGGCAATGCTCTGAGAGCTGTACCACCTGACTGCCCCAGATTCATTTAGGTGCCATTGATCTTGATATTGCCATAGAAACTCATAATTCTAAATTTGAGGACATGGACAGGCTGCGTTCATGCCATGTCATAGTTATTCTGAGATAACACATGTGTTCTACTCGGAGCTGTTCCACATCCTCAGAGGCAATCTGTGGTGGTCAGGCGGCAAAAGCAGTATCACACTTGCAGTCTGCAATATGGCTCTATATCAATTTGTCAAGTCTGACATTACGTGTTACAATTTTTGGGTCCAAACACGATTTCAGATCTCAAAAGTACACTGCAATTTTTAAAATCTTTTAAAATTTACACGAGTTCAAGTACGAGTTCTGCAAGCATGTGAATGGTTACCATAGAAATGGAGTTACCATAGTGTTGCCATAGAAATACATAATTCCGAGTCTGAGGACCTGGAACAGCTCAGAGAAGAATGTCATGTGTTGTTACAGTATCTCGAAATTACAGTAATTACGACATGCAATGAACACAGCTCTACTCTAGAAACATACACCTGTGACCTCATTACTTCGGTATTAATGCGCCATTGTGTCTCTGTGTTGCTTGGAAACCATTCTGAAGGACATTCCCCAGAGTGCGATTTTGAGAGAGGGGACCACAGATAGAGGGGAAAATCTTGGGGAAAAAACATGATTGGGCTAGTTTTGAATAGCCTTTTGACTGGTTTTGTTTCACAGGCCTGATAACTCTTTTTTGTTGCTTCGTGTCGTGCCTAACAACGGCACTTATATGTTCTAAATTTACTGTAAACCAAGGCTTTTTGAGGCATATTGCTTTATTTGATCACAAGGCTCAACCGACAAGCAATGCGGCCTGAGGTAACGATAGAGAACTTCTGCACTTTTTGAAAACAGGTCGCATCACATTTGGTTCAGGTGTTTTGTATGTGCTTCGTTAAATATGGGGCTGTTTTACTCAAGATGCCTACAAAGGAGATACCAAAGATGAGCAATATGGCTCTATATCAACAAGACTGTGATCATGGCCATTTTTTGTCAAGTATATCACGCAAACTTTTCTGGGTCCAAATACCATTTTAGATCTTAAAAGAACCCTGTGACTTTTTAAAAGCTTAACTATAAATGAATAGTATTCACACATGAAACAGAGTAAAGGCTTGGACCTGGAAACAGTATTTGATATGTCATGACTTAACAAGTGGATAGAGCCATATCACACTCCTGTTTGTGTGATATTTAAAATAAACAAATAAATAAATAAATAGTGGACTTGTAGTCTGAATTTGTGGACACTCAATAATACTTCTCTGTCCTGGCCACTTTTTCGGTGATTTGAGCAGGAAGCTTAATTTCTGGTCTCTCATCGTAGCCATGGGTAGCAAAAATTTCGGTCAAGTCTTCCTATTTAAAACAAACGAAAGAAGAAAATCTTAATTTCTAATCTTGTAGTAATATTGATGGTGATATATATTTTTCACAATAACTGCAGTTATTTGCAGAAATCCTTGGTTCTTTATCAGATGTACAAGTATTCTGAGGCTGTACAGGCTAAATTTAAAAGAGAGACTTTCATTTAAAAATATAGCAATATCCATTACCTGTAATGTAAGGTAGGTAACAGCTCATGACTTTTACTTCATACCTCTGTTTTTATGGAAGACACAGGTACCCTTGTTCTCTCTGCCCTCAGTTCCATTGACAAGACAGTTTCAGTTTCTAATAGCCTAAGGGCAACTTTTGCATTCTCAGGCTTAAAGCAATATCCACCTAAAATCAACAGAGAAAGCCACAGTGATCTGTCAGCTTCTTTCAATGTTGAAATAATTTAGTCAGTAAAATAGATTTCATCAACAAGTGCACACTTCTTTGAGTTTTTAACTACAGCAGTTTAAACTCAGATCTGTCTAGTGCAAGGAGGCTATAGTGCCCAAAGTGTAAGATCCCAGCCCAGGATTCATTCCCCCAGCCATAGGGAATCATGAAAGTGAAAGTGAAGTGAAGTGAAGTGAAGTGACGTGTGGCCAAGGGCCAAGTATGGTGACCCATACTCGGAATTTGTGCTCTGCATTTAACCCATCCAAGTGCACACACACACAGTAGTGAACACACACACACCGTGAACACACACCCGGAGCACTGGGCAGCCATGTGCCTTCAGCCTTTACGTCACAAGTCCAACTCTCTAACCATTAGGCCACGACTACCCTATCACCAGAATACTAGGCACTTCCGGCTCCACATCCACCATTCACTTCCTGTTTGTTTGTTTTTTTCATTGTTTGCACCTGTGTCTCATTAGCATTGTTAGCTCACCCTATATAAGCTCGGTTCTCACTCTCATTCATTGCTAAGTCTTGTTTGTGTCATTGCTGCAATTCTAAGCCTTGTACACTGTGTCTTGCTTCCTGGTCTTGTTGTTCTGCATGTTTTCTGGATTACTCTGTTTGCGTCAGCCCCTTACTCTGTCGTTGTTTTGGATTGCCTATTTGTATATGACCTTTGCCTGCCTTTGGATTAGGTTTGTCTTCAGCCTTTAGGTCACAAGTCCAACTCTCTAACCATTAGGCCACGACTACCCTATCACCAGAATACTAGGCACTTCCGGCTCCACATCCACCATTCACTTCCTGTTTGTTTGTTTTTTTCATTGTTTGCACCTGTGTCTCATTAGCATTGTTAGCTCACCCTATATAAGCTCGGTTCTCACTCTCATTCATTGCTAAGTCTTGTTTGTGTCATTGCTGCAATTCTAAGCCTTGTACACTGTGTCTTGCTTCCCGGTCTTGTTGTTCTGCATGTTTTCTGGATTACTCTGTTTGCGTCAGCCCCTTACTCTGTCGTTGTTTTGGATTGCCTATTTGTATATGACCTTTGCCTGCCTTTGGATTAGGTTTGTGGATTACCCATTCAATAAACTACTGCATTTGGATCCTTTACCTTCATGTCAACATGCAGTTTCATTACAATATGTCAGCATTCCCATTTATTTCAAGGGCAGTTGCTTGACTGGATCCTGCATTTAAAATCTTTGCTCATTGGCACAATTTTCTTTCTTTTTTTAGCTAAGCATGTGAGTTATAAATGCCTATAAATTACTCTAAAATCAGACAAACATACTCATAGGCTAAACACTTTTAGGCTAAACCGACCACAAATAAAGTCTCAAGGCCTTAACTAGCAACAGTCTGTCCTGAACTGAGGTCAAAAGCAATTATGGTTATGGAAGTTTCTTTTCTTTTTGTTTACCAAAAATCCATTTTACAACTTGTATTGTTATTTACAGAAAATACTAAAACATTTAATATAAAATGTATGGGAAAAACTTAATAACTTGCCTTAGGTTTGATAGTAGTGTGACCAAATATATTTATAAAATAGACCCATAAAAATCATATAATAATTCAAATAAAAAACAATAGTATTTTGAGTTAATTTTGTGCCTTGAAAATGATTAGAAGAGAAAAATGTTAATACAAACACACAAACCTGTTACATAGCTGATTCCATGTAAAACAGTGTTATCTGCTTTGCCAACAATAACTGCATCAACCACAATATTGCTGTCCATCAATTTTCTGGCAATGGTGACTGAATTACTCATGGAACTGTACATTAGACAATAAACATTATCATAATCATTTTAGTTGGTGTAGTAACATTTTAAGACCATCGATTCAAGTAGTATAGGAATAGATACACAAATACACACACCTGAAATCATTGCCATCTGTCAAACACAAGATGCGACATCTGCAAGCTGGAAATCTTTTCTTGATATTGTCAAGCTCTGAGATACCACGAACAAGTGCATCATATAGCCTAGTGTACCCAGATGCTTCAATAGCATGCACTTGCTTCTACAAGTAAAAAATAATATGCAATACATTATTGATTCAAAAAGTACAGAAATAGCATTTATCATTACTACTAAGTTTTTTTTCTTTAATTGTGGTAATGGTGTAATAATCAGGACAAAAATACCTTGAAGGTTTCCAAATTTTCTGTGAATTTAAGAATAGTTTTCACTTTGTCGTTAAACATCACAAGGCAGATGACATGTTGAAAATCATATGACATGCTTCGGTTTGCAAAGCTGTCAAAGATTTGCTTGACAGCATCAATGCGCTTCATTTGACTTGCGGTGTCATAACATTCTTCCATCATTGAAGAACTTGAATCAAAAAGCACCTGATAGGAGCATTAATTAATTAATTTAGCATTAGCTTGTTTGTTAATGTAAATGATGTACTTTAAGTTATATATGGATGTTGTATAATTACTTTATGAAACCATTGAGCTTTGAAATGATTCAACACTTCATGCTTATAGGTGAACATGCAAAAATAATGATTTCAAATCTGATTAAATAAGTCTATTTCTCGGAGTCTTTAACACCTTTATGTGAATAAAAGGTTTTCTTTTATATTTCCTCAAAACTGTATTGTGAAAGGATTTATTACTTTTTCAGCACAGAGTATGTTGTGGCCAATTGGTGATCAAAAGTAAGCATGTACCAAACTGCTGTGTCCTGGTACAGTTAGGGATTATAGCTGTTTGAAAGTGTTGTAAACGTTGCAAAAGCTTCTCTAGTACCTCTCTAGTACTTACCACAACTGCCTCTTTAGGGGTTTTACTGACTTCAACAATGTTGTCAGTTCTGGTATCATTGAGTCTGATTGGGTAAGGTTGGAAAAAGGAGAAAGTTATTATTTATACAATTTGTACTGTAAACCATACAAATATAAAAGTTTAAATGAGCTGCTCAGTCATGAAGTGACTGAAATCAATTTAATATATATAATATAATACACAAGCCTTTAAGTTGATCAGCTAATGTAGAAGCTTTTCAATGTTTTTATTATGTTTAATGTGTTTATTTGCTGGCTATTGGTTAAATTGGCAGTAAAGTACCCTAGTTTACTGCCAAATACTTATAAAGATATACTATTGGCAAATTAAAACAGTGGGCAGGATCACACAGACTAAAACACAAATAGACATTCCAGCATTATTAGAATTTATCAAAGTACTGTAAATATATACATATAGCCCTTGTCTTTTATTTATGGGGGAAAGCTCTTAAACTGTAGATATACTTACATTCTAGCCAGATCATTCACATTTTTTGTGGTCTCTTTTCCAGAAAGACAGTCGAAAACCTTAATCTCATACCGGTCTGCCTTGTTTTTGTTCAAGTAAACACCTAGATTATCTATACAGATAAATAATGTTAGATCAGAATGAATGTCTACACTGAAATATTTTGCTAAATATAAAAAGGAAAAAAAAATCTTATTAGGTTTTTAACACCCAGGTAGTAGGGCAACTGAAACTTAATTGCAAATCTCCTATTGATATTGTTTATCTTTTATATTTACAGTAAAATCAATTGATTAAACAGTCTAGCTTTTAACATTCAAAACATAAAAAATTGGACCTTCACTGGGATACACCAGCAGAGGTCCCTCTATTCCCATATTTGCCAGTTGCAGGGGTGGTGTGACAATCAAGTGACTGTACTCTTTGACATCCTCAAACATGTCTGAAAATGTTTTCTTCTGTTCAATCTGAAAGCTTTAAAAAGCATTTTGTATAAACATTTAATATTGTTTTACATATCAAATATGATATTATTATTAAAATACAATATTTAGATTAAAATACATTTATATTTATAATATAAACAATTTATGTAATTATAGTTTTTTTTTCAAGACTCCTAAATATGACATACTTGCAACCTTGTGGGGTGCTGTTATAAGAGATCCATAATGGAAACCTATCAAATGATGCTGGAAGACTAAGCAAAATTTTCTCTATATCTGTAGCTCTTTGAATCGATGACTCCAGTAGATTCACCTCATCACAGTTTGGAATTTTTACACCATCTAAAATAAAAGCTCACAGCATTATGGATGTGGTGATAAATTGATGATGGTAAAACAAGCATGTCAGTTCCAGCTTTTACCAGTGATTTTTTCCAGTATGTATGACCGATCAAATATTTCTGGTGTCCCTGGTACTCTCACTGGCTCAGACAGCCGCTGGCCAGAATAAGCCTTTAAGGATACTGTAGCATAGTTCTCCAGATCATTATTCTCATTCTGGTAGAAACAACCAAAAAATGATCAAATGGAATTGTTTTCAATTAGCAAATTTTAGTAAACTTTATTTTCTTTTTAGAGTGGCTGCTACCATCACTGCAAATCTAGTATCTATGAACATAACACAGACCAAGGCAGTATATTTTTAGTGATAAAGTTTTTTGTGCAATATTAATAATATGAATTGTATATACTTTTTCAAAACAGAATCATCTATCTTTTAAAAATGTCACGTGTGATAAAGAACTCATCTTTTTGCTTTATTTAATATTTGTCACAAATGTTATCCAAAGTTGTGAAATGTATAAAGTTCATGTGGTCATTTAAGATGCACATTACTGTCTGGTTATTGGGAAATAGGCTGCAGTACTTGTACTCCATGCTACTGGAATGAAAAATTGTTCCTGAACCGATTATTATCTGATGTATGATATGCTGTGTCAAGAAAAAAAAACTGCAAACATACCTGTCCTTGAGCAATCAAGTAAGCCCAGCAGATATTTGCATTTTCAAAAACATCACCATCTTCAATGACCTTTGGGCCTGATCTTTCATTAAGACCTGGTAGCAACTCTCGGAAAAGAAAATAAAGACCCTCAACAACTGCAATCTGAAATGAAAATATAAAGGAGTTATTTTAAGATTTATGATTAGACTTAAATATTTAATGGATAATATTGCAATGATAATAATTCACTTTATATCAGCGTGTGAAAATTACTAAGATAAATACATTTAAGATTCGACCCCATTCTTTAAATAATTTACACGCTTTTTATTATACAAAATGTAGCCTACCTTTTGGTTTCTAGTTACATGCAAGTTCCCACAGATCAGTTGGAATAAACTTTGAGCCAAAGCATTGCATCCACTTAGTCTCCGAATATATGCAACCACTTTCATAAATTCTTCTCCACAGTGTCTATGTTTCTAAGAATAGGACAAAATACAGAAAATCTTAGTTGCACTGAAAAATAAAGCAATATGTTTTATCTGAAGTTTGGAGCTGCTGGCATCAAAACTGCTGTCAAGAAACAGATGGATACTATTGCATTGTTGGCTCTACTGTTCTCATGGTTTGAGAACCGGCATGCCCATAGATACAGTTGATCATCCTATCAGTGTGAATGTCTCTAACAACATCAAAACTCACCCAATAACTAACCAAATAAATAATGAAACAAGCATTTCAAACAAGCAAAAGCTATCGCGTAGCTTTGACTATATAAATAACACTAACATGATTGGCCACAGTTGTTTATTTTTTTTAGGGCTGGAGCTAAACTATAGGACAATGGATCCTAAGGAGCAGAATTAAAGAACTCTAAATTAGACTCACTTCTTTGATTGTGTCGACTAATATTCCAGTGTTAACTGAAATGAAACTCTTTGATAAGATTCAAAGAATGGTGTTTGAGTTCTAGCAGTTAATATACATTGATGTTACAGACCACTTCTTGCTCCTCTCATTCCTCTTACAAACCATTTTTTATCTTGCTCAAAATCTTTCCATCACTATCAGAGAAGTGACAGCCCCAGGATTCCTGATAGATACACAGGAGTCCTGTGTACAGTTTAAATACCAGAGAATCTTGAAAGTGAATCTTGAAAAATATCCTGCAAGAGAACATGTCAGTATCTGGGACTATTCACCATGTTAACCACCAAATGGAGACAATTTAAATGATTTTTCTTGTTTGAATACTATTGTAACCTGTGCCTCACCATTCTGGTGTCATATGCTCTTTGTCTTTTGCATTTAATTTGTGTGTGTGTGTGTGTGTGTGATGTGTGTACCTGGTATTCCCTATATGTTATGAGGAACAAATGTCCCCACAAGTATAGTAATACCAGTAAATTTGGACCTTGTGGGGACATTTTTTATTTTTTGGTTCCCATGAGGAAACAAGCTTATAAATCATACAGAATAAAGTTTTTTTGAAAATCTAAAATAGCAGAATGTTTTGTGTGAGGGGTAGGGTTAGGGGATAGAAAATACAGTTTGTACAGTATAAAAACCATTACTCCTATGGAGAGTCCCTGTGAACCACATATACCAACATGGTTTATGGACTGATTTAGACTTTTTTCTGTTGGACTGTGTTTTTGAACTGCTGTGTTGTTGGGATTTTGGAACTTTTTGAATAAACCTTTGTGGATGAAGCTGCATTTGTGAATCGTTTGCAATTTGGATTCACCCATTCTAGGCGACCCAGGTTCTAGATAAGCAAGCATCAGACCTTGACGAAATAGAAATTATAGTATTTTAACATACAATGGCATACAGCGTTGACAGAAAAACACTTAGGCCTTTCTGTGTTTGCTTCACTGAGGGTGAGACATCTTTTTGGAAGAAAAGACTTGGACTTGGTTTCTCATTATCAAACGATGACAGAAAGAACTGTAGAACTGAATCCTCAGTGATTCCAAGTTCACTTAGTCTGTCAACATAATTATACTCTTTGCCTCTGTGGGGAAAAAACATCAACATATAAGAGTAATTTACTTATGTTATCTTGGAAAACACAATACTGAAAGATTTTCAATACTTTAAACAATATAGTAAATCAGTAGTACATATATATATATATATGTTTGTTCATGTAATTATATTTTTACTACTGATTTACTATATTGTTTAAAGTATTGAAAATCTTTCAATACTGTGTCTTAACACACACACACATACATGATGTAATCTCATGATATGATCATCAGTGACCTGATGTGAAGAACTGGTGCTGGTATATTGCTTTCGAGAGAAAGCCGTAGCGTCACATCTCTCAGTGTATCACTTTCGAGGTCAACTTTGATTTCAAAGTCCCCCTATTGAACAAATATAAGAAAAATAAGATGACTGAAGTTGATCCAGAGGAGATTTGGGATGGTTGTAACACATGTAAGTTTAACACATTTGTAAATGAGTCACAAGGATGAAATGACTTTCATGCATGAGCACCATGCTCCTGGGGTGACTGGAGATGTGGTATGTATATCTGTACAAATTTTGTACAAATATAAAGGATTTGACTTTTGGGTTATAATATGATTCTGTATCATGTTAAATTACAGAATGCAATCAGTAGATTCTTCTGTTTACATTTGATGTATTACACTGTTAATGGAAAAAGCAAAAACAAAAAGCATAACAACCATCCTTGGTCTTTTCTACACTTGATAATAACAACATTACCTTCTAAATGTGAAACTTTGGGGTTTGTTTTGGTGAATCAATAGATTTTCAACTTTTGATTAAAGTGATCATACACCAGTAGCAGTACCTGTAACATTATGTGACAGCGGATGACAATTGGTCCTTCATTTCTGATGTTGGCCTGTCTTTGTGTTGGTGGTAACACTGTTAAATTTTCCCTTGGTGTAAATATGGCATATAGTTCGCTCCCACTTGCAATATGTCTGCAATTCAAAGACCCTTTAATGATAAAGATAGAAACCATGCAGAGAAATTAAATTAGTGAAAAACATGCAGAATTGATAATAACAAGAAAGTCATAAAGTGTCAACAAAAAGTTTGTGAACTCTTTGATCTGGATTTCTGCACTAATTTTTTATTTAAATGTGGACTGATCTTAATTTAATTCCCAACTATACACAAACACAATCAACACTCATTACTGTCAGACTTTCAGAATCCTTCATCATTTGAATTAAGATTATATATATATTTTTAAATCACATCCACCACAAAAGCATCTTTTTTTTACTTTGAGATCGTTCTGAGGTTAAATACAGATTTAAAACCATAACAAGAAATAGTTTAAAAGCTATAATACTCTTTTTGAAATCAAATCTTTGCATAGCTGTGACAGCAAACACAGGCATCTAACAGTTAATCTAAATAAAAAAAAGCATATACATAAACCCAAATAAGAAATAAAACAGTTATATAAACATGTCCTATTCTGTGTCTTAAACTCCTGAAACATTGGTGTCTCATATTTTAGAGCAGTCAATGCAATTTGGGAAAGAAATCTATTAAATCTCTCTCTCTCTCTCTCTCTCTCTCTGTGTGTGTGTGTGTGTGTGTGTGTGAAAATATTCAGATGTAAAACCCTTTGTAATCTTTAACATTTTCATAACTGTACTTTAATTACACATTTTTTCTCAGTAACTGTAACTGATTACAGTTATATTTATTTTGTAATTAAATTACGTAATTCCGTTACATGTTAACACTAGTTACTCCCCAACACTGCTAATGAGAAGACACCACATTTGGTGCTGGAAACAATTGTCTCTGTATTCGAAATAAAACAATGTTTAAAAATGATCTTCAAAAACATTTGAATACTTACATGTGTTGAAAAAAGGGTCATCGGTCAAAGGCATACCATCAGCAGTGTAAAGGCATACAGACATGTTTCTGTCAAGCTTGTTTTCATGGCAGATGCGCAGCATCAGGTCTTCCACTGTATTTTGCGAGGGATCTATACCTGTACAATGGTAATGGGACAAAAAAAATTATATATATTTTTTATAGTAAAGGTCATACACCCTAAATAACTCTAGCAATATGTGTACTTAAATTTAAGTATAAGCATCTTGTTTTGACATCTCTCAGTTCCCTTATTACTGTAACTGTCTTTTAGCATGAGGAACAACATTAGTACGGTTTATGAAGTGTGTAGGCCATAAAGATTTACCTGTGATCTTTTGTATCCCAGGACATTTTGGAAATCGATAGGATATTTGAAATGAATTAAGTGACTTCATTACAGGCATTCCTTGCATCTCTGAAATTGGTGCATTGCCAATCTTTTGTAGGTAATCAACCATTTTGACATAACGGTTCTTCTCTGCTTGTGAAAAATCTTTTAACAGAACAAAAAGAAAATGACCCATAATATTCAATACAGAGCTGATTAATTTCATGAGAACTTGTAGGGAGAGTGAGGTAAGATGCCAGCCACTATACTGTAAGTTGGACCTCCTCCCCATTTGACCATTTAGAACTGCCTATCATCATATCTTTTATAATTTCTTTGAGAGGAGACATGCACGTCCAATAATTTCAGATTTTCATTTATTACAATCAAATATAAAATATCGATAAAATATACATATATTTTTTACTTGACAAGGCATTTACCCCAGATAGTTCAACATACACTTTGACATGGTCCAAATATAGTGCACTTTATTGCTAATAAATAGATAAAATGGTCTTTGTTGACACCATCTTGTATACTGTCGTGTATTATTATGTATCAAAATGATAAGATATTAACAGAACAGATTTAAAAAAGCCAAAAAAAAAACTTTTTGAGAATAGAACTCATACCCATGCTTTTTAAGGTCTCATCGTTGACACTGTCAAAAAAATCCAGTTCTTCTTTAATCCCAATGTCAATGAATTTTTTGTAGTATTTTTCCAATCTGTAATTCTTAAGTAATATGAATATTTTTTCCATCTGAAACACACGTCAATAATATAAATCAGTAGGATGCTTTCTGTTAAAAATATATCAAAAACATAACTTTTGTGCAAAGCTAAAAAAAGCAGTTTTCAGCAGTATGCATGTCATGTTAGAGTTATCATTACCACTCATAGCACTCACATAGCTTTGGTCTATTGATGAAGCATTTTTTTTTTTTTTTGCATGGTTAGTAAACAGTCCCGCCCCAAACTCACACCACTGGTTGTCCATCAAGTGTAACATGTTAGCAACGAATGTTTAAAAAAAAAAAATCTGTGGCTTAAGAATGTGTTTGAAGTGTGACTAGCTTATGATGCACAAAAATGTTTCTTCAAAAAAGTGTGAACATGGCTATGTATGCACTGCAGCTATACTGTTGCATTTGACTATATTTCCCTCTACATCAATAGATGGCACAAAACCCACTGCAGAACTTTTCTAAACATTTGTTTTCCATTAAAATATGTAACAAGGTTTCCGGAACTCTGTTACCTATATATATATATATATATAATCTATGTTTTACATATAGTTCCAAACACACAACAGCTATCAGAAAGTAGGCTAAAAGTGATGGGGGCCTTTAAACCGGAAAAGCGAGTCGTTGCACCTGCAAAAAAGCTTTTAGTTTGCACAGCGTTAATATATATATATATGCTGGTTTAAAGGGGTCATATGATGCGATTTCAAGTTTTCCTTTCTCTTTGGAGTGTTACAAGCTGATTGTGCATAGATAAGATCCCTGAAGTTGCAAAGACTAAAGTCTCAAAACCAAAGAGATATTCTTTATCAAAGTTAAGACTCTGCCACGCCCCCCCTAAAACGGCTCGTTCTAACACGCCCCCACATATCTACCTCACTATGTGGAAATATTAGCATAATGCGGCCCAAATGTTCACGCAAAGAAAGAAGGCTTGGTTTCAGTAACCGCAGTTAGTGTTGAAGCAGCCATGTCAGGGAGACGCTGTGTGTTTCAGTGCGAAAGCAAAAGCACTTTATTTGGCCTTCCGAAAGTAGATGCATTTAGGAATCTTTAAGATTACTTACAACAGAACAGCAATGCATTTTATGGACGACCGTTTCATGAACCTAGGAGAGGAGGTAATTCTGACTTTGCTATGACAATCTGGCGCTTCTGAATCAGCTACTGTTTTATTATTAGTTTAAGTATTTGCTATTGACTGTTCAAATGCGGAGTTTTGCGCATTGTGTGTGTTTGTGTGTGTGTGTGTGTGCGCACGCGCGCGCGTGTGTGTGCGAGAGAGAGCGCGCGCGAGAGAGAGAGACAGCGTCACATCACAGTGGAGTCAGCTGTCTTAACCATGGCTTGTGAGACTGCACTTGTCGGAGTTTGTGAGAGGTGGGGCATAGAGGACCTACAATAATGTACAGTATTTGAAAAATAATGTGTTTTTTGAACATTAAAGCATGTCAGAATATTCTGTTACACCAAATACACAAAATAATGATCTTTAAAAAAGCATCATATGACCTCTTTAAAGCATGGTCTCAACTCAACTTCAGTGGATTCTTATCACAGACTGTAATGACGTGTTTCCAGTTATTAACATCTTAAATCTTGCCATTTGAAAAAAAAAATTTATTTATTTATTCATTCATTCATTCATTCATTCTACTTACTTAATTGCCTATTCACTTATTTATTTTTAGTGTACATACTATAGTTTGTTTTCTTGGATTTGTTTCTTACCTATGCTGCTGCGAGAATGTTTCTAATACAATGATAAGTGACTGCATATTTGACATATTTCTCTTGCAAATTTCTCTCATGACCAATGTGGGCTGCGTTTCTCAAAAGCATCGTAAGCTAAATTGATGGTAGAGACCATTGGTGGCAATAGGTCTACAATCTACTTAGACTTACGATGCTTTGAGAAACGCAGCTGTGATCATTCTGTTGATATTTTTTTCCCTCTTTGGGAAATGTTATCATTATTTTCTTCTTTTGCTATTTGAGCAAATTGAATGTAGGCTACACCACTACAGAAGTTTACCCAACTATGACAACTTCAGCCTCCACACGGCGGTAAAGTTAGTTTGACGTTTGACATTCATTAGACATTCTGGTTTTTTGCCAATTAAACTCTTTGCAGCTTTTATGTTTTGAGCCCAAACTACCTCAGATAGACATAAATATATGCCCTTTATGTTGCATAAGGCTTAATTTCTAGGAATTAAAATTTTTTTTTAACCATTTAAATTAATTTAACTATTTAACTACATGACATTATAATATAAAACCAATACTAAAATGTTCAGGAAAACATACCTGTTATCGCACAAAGCTCCGTTTTTGGAATTACAATTTTATGTTTTTTATAATAATTTTACAACTTTTAATGTATACAATAATATAAATCCATTAAACAACAACACCATTTGATCTAAAGGTACCAAACGAACTGTAAAATATTCAGAATATTATTCCCTATAATGCACAAGGCTTGGTTTTTCAGATTATGCCTTTATTGTTTTTATATACAGTACTGAATCCATATTTTTTTCATATGTTTTATATACTGTACCCACTTAAATTAATTAAACTCTGACACAGTTTGAGATAAAGGTATCAAACCAACTGTAAAATATTCAGAATATTATTCCCTATAATGCACAAGGCTTGTTTACTAAATTTTGAAAATAAATTCAGATTTCACAGTTAACACTTGGGTTGTGTGGCCATGCATCATATCCTGAACCATATATGACCATGGCATTTATATGTAATTATTTTCAGACACCGGTTGCTTGTCACATTCAAATTGGTTGTCATAGTAACGACACTAATTTGTGGCGATTCAGTGCATTGAGTTCCACAAATCTGAATGCATTATTTGTAAATTTACTGTTAAGATAAACATTTTGCACAATTTAGTATCTGTAATATCATTGTGTTGCCACTAGATGCCTGTATAGCCCTATGTAACAATCCCTAGTGGCTAAGACATTGCACATAATTTACACATAAATTAATTTTATTACATTTTGATTTGGATACTATATACTATACTACTACATATTGTTTAGATATTATCAATGGCTACTTTTTTGTCTTTATCTGTTTTTTGTTCAATTTTGTTGTTGTTGTTTCTTGAAACATTGATTTAAAGTGTCAGTTATTGCATTATTATTTCAGTCAAACCTATAAAACCCCTTTGTTACCCCAAACTACATATAAAAGCTTTATCAGTGGCATAAAAGTAACCAATGCAGCTAATCATTTGCTACTCGTTAAGGTCCCTTCAGCTGGTGGCGCCCTAGGCGACCGCCTATAGCTCGCCTAAGCCTAGAAATGGCCCAACTTAATTTAATTAAACTCTGACACAGTTTGAGATAACACTTCACCGTTGGTTGTGTTACTGTAAGTAATTTTCCTCAAATTATATTGAAGTTATAAAAGTGTATACCAATGTCATATGTAATTTTAGAGATGGTCCCTAGATTTGCGAATATCGAGTGCCGGGAAATGACACCTCTGGCCATTCCGCTGGGTCGTTTGTAAAGTCACAGATACTGTACGGACAATACGGCTCAGTTTTTCTATGTATCTTGCTCTGTTGAACGGCAAAAGTGACTTTACTAGGCTATACTGGATTTACACCATGCATCTCCTGTCTGCGGGAAAGCCGCGCCCCCAGCTATCACAAGACCCGAGCAAGTCCATGGTTGACACCCTCTCATTCGCATGTTGTGCAGAGGAAAAATAAATGCGGAACTACATTCAGAAATAAATGAGTGATCAAAAGAAAACAGTTAGGATGAGTTTAGCATTTCCTTAAACATTTTCCATTTGGCCACCAATTTATGTTATTTATTTGACTACTTTCATCACACGTTTAATTATTTATATATGTATTTAAACAAGAATACGTGTATTTATACACATTTATTTATTTATTTGCTTATTTATTTATTTTTAATATCTGCAAGTTTGGTCCTTCATAAGTTTGGG